ACAGCCTGGTAGAAACCAGTCACAGCCTCCGTGAAGGGGTAACGGGCAGTGTTAGCGTCTGGCCAGAAGACATGATATTCATAGTTCTTCAACTCACCTGCCTCATGCATGGTGCGGAGGTGGTCCAGCGCCCGGAGCCAGGCAACCGGCACGGCATTGCGGAGCAGCGCCCGGTTCCACTCGCCCCGCTCAGCCGTGTCCCACAGCCCTTTGCGGTTGGAGAGGATGCTGAAGGCCCCGTGCACGTGAATTGGCAGCCCCGAGGCAACTGGCATGGGAAGGTGGCAGAAGACTCGCCCCTCCTCGGCACCCAGACGTGGCATCCATTTGCCATCTGTAGTAAGGGCGAGGGGAAGGGCCACACCAGCCACGGGAGGCAGAGCATGGAGCCCTGCCTGTGTGTTCTGGTGAAATGGTTCCAGCAACTTCCCATCACCCTGGCACACCAAAACTAGGTAATGCCATGTGGTCTTGGCTGCCTCCTCGCAGGCTGTGAGCTGCTCAATGGCTGCCCAGCCTGGAGAATCCCCGGGAGCTCCCAGGTCTTGGATCTCCTTTCTCCGCAGCGTGGCCAGAGGCACGGTATCCTCTACAGAGGTGGCCATGTCTGGCAGCATCTCCAGGGACATCTCCCTCACTCTCCGCAGGAAGAGCAGCAGTAGCCGGTTAGAGCCAAGGAAGCTGGTGCCAAGGGACTGGATGCGCTCTGTTCCGAAGGCCTCCGAGCAAATCTGCGATGTTACAGCTTCCTCTTCAGTGCGAAAAGGCAGGCGGAAAAGACTCCCTGGAAAGGGTCCTGGCTCAGGCAGGTGGCACCCAAAGATACCGTGGTAGGGCCAGAACTGCTCGGCAAAAGCACGCAGGATGCGCGGTCGGCTGGAGAAGTCCAGGCGAATGCCAGGGCAGCCAGCTCTGGGGATGTGCTTGCCCAGATGAGTGCCGTTGGGATCAAAGATGAGCAGTGTCTCCCCACTCAGCACCGCCGGCACATCCGTGACGCGGTAGACGGAGCTGAAGCCCAAGCCAAAGCGACCGATCCGGCCTGCCTGGCCCTCCTTTGTGGCAGCCCCGACCCGTGTGATGTTACGGAGGTCATCCTCTGTGAACAGGGCGTTGTTGTATGCCCAGAGGGCCGGGCCATGGCAGGCCACCATGCCAGGGTCTAGCAGCCCAGAGGTGGCCTTTTTGAAGTGCCGGAGGTCCAGGAGGAAGCGACACACAGTAGCTCCGGCATCCTCTGCGTTCTGGACCATCTCTGTGAAGAGGTCGCCCTCTTCACCGTACTCCCGGAGGATGTTGCGGAGCCGTAAGGTGATGGGCTCCGAGGGGCCGCAGGTGGTGAACGGCTCTGGCCCCAGCACCCGCGTGCTGAGAAGCTCTGCACCGAAGAACGTGGCTGTGCTGGATGGCACTGCCTCATGCACCACCTCCTGAACATCCTCCTCTGCCTCCAGTTCCATGTCCAGGTACACAGCAGAGGCAGCCGGGCGGAGAGCAAAGCCTGAGGCCTCCAGGACCCTCACA